TCGGAATAAAGTGTGTGCATGGAAAACTTTTTCATTTGACGAGATATCTTCACGAAATTAGGCATGAGATATTATCTAAAGCAACAATGTAATCTCCGAAATAATTGTTCAGATCAGATTACTATAAAATATAGCTGTCATACAAACTGAACTATCGGAATCAAGTTCTTGTAAGGAGCCTTTATATTTGTGAAGGGTATTATAGCTTCGGTGCAACCAACGTTAACGTTTTTTCTTATTTCAAATTTAGCTACAGTTAACTGCAGTATTATATATTATATTACTATGTTCTACATAAGTCACAAACCGCTTATGCCTTTTATTTGTATTCCCTTTTTTCTGACAACGCCAGTACTAGTAATAAACTAGAGGTTGCCTAACCGCTACGTATAGCCAACCAATCCATTAGTTAAATGCAAGAGAATAGCAAAGCAAAATCTATTCCCATTCTACTAATAGTGATGTGCCTTTTCTTGCAAGCTCATCAGCTTTATCACTGATAAATCCGAAAAGCGGCATAATCTAACACACGCACAGTGTGCATGTACGGAAGACTACACGCTACAGTGAAATGAACTAGTTGCGGACCGCCTCCTTTCGTTGTGCAATGTGCAAGTGAAATCAGAAACAAAGTTAGAATTTGAGCCAAGAGATTGGATTCATGGATCTGGAGCAGATTTACCATTGTGAAAACAAATGACAAATTGACTGTCAAAAGCTCTTCTAATTTCTCTTTTAAATTAATATTTCTTTTTTTTTTTACTTAAGTTTTATAATTAAAATACAAATCGGGGTTTGTTCATTTTCAGTCCAGATATTCTAGTTCTAAACTAGTATATATTTTATCTAGAGTGATACTTTGTTGCAAACATTCGTGAGTATATTTTGCCTGAACATATGAACAGTCCATCAAAAGGTCTGATGTGCCTAAGCGCGTTGACACACTAAAAGGATTGTGCGGGCTATAAATTGCAGCAACTAAAACAGCGATAATATAGCCTGACTAACAGTAAATGGTAACACATGCAATGCAGTTGTGGTTGTGGTTGTATATACGGTTAAATACACTATACGCCATCAGATTAGCATAATTAGTTAAAATAGTTCACTTGACTCATAAAAATACGGGTATAAACCATTCACAAATATCCAAAATAATTAAAGAAGTAGGGACAACTATTTTAAATGAGAGATAAACGTGAATTCAACCAAGCCGTGGTACTTGTTTTATTATAATGTGAAGTAAAAGGGTCAGATAAAATTTAAAATTAAGCATGGTCGTAATTCGATTTCGCCTGTTATAATGTTTTATAAAGATTGCAAAACATGATTACCCACCAAATTGGATTGAAACTGGTCGAATGGTTTCTGAGATACAGCAGTTTTCCATTGTTCAATGCAGTCCTTCCATAGCATCTTTGCTGTAAAAGTTAAAGATTCCTTAGTGAATTACCGCACTGCTAATAGATTTCAACACAACTGCTATGTAAAGATCACATTATGGTATATTAGAAAGTGATCGAAAGACTTGTCACAAGCAAGTTTGGTTGATATAACTTTAATGGTATTTGAGATACGTACATTCAACCTGCCATTAGGTAGGACCTCGCCCAATGTTCAACAACAACTATCCCTACCTGGAATTACCCCGTCTCGTCACTCTTTATATATATGTATATAACTCTATATCTATGTCGATTAGTTTAATGTGCTATAAGCAATCGTTGGGTGAACAAAACTATTATACCCAAAATGTTGCGAGAGTGTAATAACGGCGCCATTTGATTGCTTTCTCTTTTTATCATAGCAAGAGCATACGAAGATTTAAAGTATAGAGATTAAGAATAACAACAACAACAGCCTTTATATTCAACTTTCTAATGTATGATGACGCGCAGTGTACTTTAAGTGCATATAAAGATGGAAGTGAATTCGCCTGTCGCCTACCTCGGAGGGCAGTGATATGTGAGCACATCATAATTCAATCACTAGCAGTGGCATTAACTGTTCAACTGAATGCACAAGTACATATCTATAGATATATATGGTACATGTACATAAACGCTTGTGATGCATGACTTCCAGCAAGCTATCCCTGCAGTGTAGCATCAAACTAGTCAGCAAGCTGTAAGAGTTTACAAGTAGAAATTTCTGACAGAAAGTAAACAAGCCAGGAAGATATTAGACGTATTTCAATTGAGGAACGATTTTCTAATGGGTTAATTTCTATGACCAGTGAATTGGCTCAAATTTACAATTTAATACGACATTTTTTTTATATTATTTTTTGAACTTATATGATTATGGTCACATTTCTGTCAGGAATCTTTCTACACGCAAACACTATCCGTTAATTAAAAGTAAATGGGATAGACGGCTGCCTAGTCATGCTTCTAGTTTATACTAATTGTGAAGTAGTTTATAACTAGTGGATTTCACTGTTAGGATGCAGTACCGCGGCTACGCCATGTAATAACGCAGACCTAGTCCGCGCTGCAAGTCAGCCTTCCCCTTACTCTCATTCACTCTCACCGACTCAGTTTATCATGGAGTGGGCACAGTTTAGTATATGAAAAATGCACATATTCGAGTGACGTGCCTTTCAATATTTCATTCACAAAAATAGCACAACAGGAGCAACGGAAAGGAGAAGGCACAGACAGAAAGGGGCGTAGAAGTGAACAAGAGATAAAATAGTGTTGAGAGGAAGAGTTGTGTGAATATAATAAAAAATAGAGGACAATGAAAGGAAAAGGAAGTGAAAAATTGGCACGCAAACCAAGCTATTATATGCTTATACAGTATTGAGAAAAACGTATGCAATTATTTCACTCTTAGAATCCTCTTTCTTTGATGTTGCAAGTGTGATTCGAAGCTGTGCAGTAACATCTTATATTACACAAGCTCAATGGAAAAGGGAATGGAATAAAACTAATGAAACTATGACTATGTAAGCATGAGTCATCTGGATACCCTAACTTGTAAAATATATATATATCATATATATATCATCTTTCAAACTCTGTTAATTTCAACATTATTTCGCGGTTAGGTGTATATAACAGACCAGACTGAATCAGTATTTAATTTCATGGTTGTTCTAACCTTAGCTGACCACTCGTCCCGGTTTGGCCGGAACAGTCCGGATTCCGAGTAAAGCGTCCCGGGCTTAGAAAAAAAAAAATGAATTGAATAAAATTGTGTTGCTCTCTCACCTATTATATGTCGCGATTTTCAATGACTTATTATATGGAAAAAATCGATGACTAAAACAACCATCCCGGATTTTTCATTTAATTTTAGGTTTGTTTGGAATCCAACACATCCGTTTTCGCTTTGCAGAGCCTCCAAATACTTTAAAGTTCGGAGAAAAAGAGGCGCCTAAGCAAGAAACAGCCTCTAGCATCACAGTCGCAAAATGACTGTAAACGAGTGTAATAGATGAGTCAAAAACAATGTCGAAGAAGCAAACTACTTCGTTTAGCATATTACTGATGTTTTCAAGAGAAGTTTGTTGCAAAACCCAAATCGAAGAATGCATGACTCCAAGAATGTGAATAGAACTACAATAGCTAATACTGCCGATTACCGTTCTGGTGAAAGCCAAGAATTTAATGAAAGAAAAAATACAATTAGGTATTGGTTAATAAATCACAAGTTCGATGTTTTCTTGTATTATAAATCGACCTGGATGCAAGGAATCCAATGGTGGGATATTGCGTGCCCATCAAATGTGAAAACTTTAAGTAATTCAGAGAAAACCATAAGCGAGGGATTTTATACTGGATGCTACTATATTAGAAATTATCATTTTCATAGCTCTGAAAAATCCTCTTGCTGAAATACAAAACATTCGATCCAAATAAAGAGCGACATCTATTCGAAACAGTTCAACATAATATTTTGAACTCCCTAGACATACTAGATTAAGATTAGTTATCTTGTACAATCTAATTCAATATTATATGAAACTCCCAATATCTGCAGCATCAACAACTTACCACAAAAAAGTATCGCTAATCAAATCTAACTTCGGTTAACTATTTATAATATATAATGATTTTAATAACGACGACAGTCGAAAAAATTTGATTTAAATGAATTCAGTCAAAAAGTTTATTCAACTGAAATTTTTTTAAATTTTTTATTTAGACTCTCAAACTAGAGAAAATATCAGAATGATCGACCAATTATTTCAATACATATACACATGCATGAATGTGTGTAGTGAACGCTTATACAGGTTGTCGAAAAATTAACGCAAGATTTAAATTTGCCTTCATTTATGTAATAAAGGGTTGACAACCCTAAAAACAAAACAAATCGACAGCTGACAGTTTAGGCTTAGTAATAATGGAGCGTTACACGATAGAACAACGTGTCTTCATTATTGAACAATTCTTCAAAAATAATGAAAGCTTTGCGGCCGCAGTTCGTGAAACACTTCAACAACTGCATGAGACATTTTTGTATGGAAAGCCGTGAAGGTAATTTGCCCGATGTGTTATTCCATAAATAATCCTATCCTAAGTCTTTTATGATTCAATAGCAAAATACCATTCAAAAGACTAAAAACTATGTTTTCTATTTAATTCCAATCTTGCGTTAATTTTGGGACAACCTGTATAAGCGTTCACTACACACTATGTATACTTGTAATATAAGTCACAGAAATCATGACATCTACAACATTTTTTTCGGTTTCAATTCTAATTTTGGCGACTAACAGTATCCGCAGCAACCCTAGTTGTATAGCTTATTGTACAGCACTGTTGTATTGAATCGTGTGTACTCTGTATTAGCGTTTACACAGCCAAAATAGTAACTAAACAACACTAGTGAAAATTTGTTTGCGATTTGAGTTTAAAATACTGAAATGTGATCTCGTTTTCTTAATGCCCCTGGGCGATTATGTACTACATATACCACTGCCATAGTTTGTTGAGGAAGAATCAAGAACGATGTATGCACAGATTAAAAAACAAGTATTGTACACTTACCGTTATATATGTCCGATGCAGTTGGCACGTGCTCGGTATTGAAGCGATTTTTCAAATAAGTCAAAATCAAATTAGTCTTTCCCACAGCACCATCACCAACAAGCACACATTTGATGGAAGGTGTTTTCAGTTGCTTCGGCTGAGATTTCGTTTGCACTCCAGACGTATCGAATTTTTTTTCTACGAATGGCGGGAGAGTAAAGTTGTATGTCTGCGCATAGAATATTATAACTAATGAAAAGGGGCTTAAGTGCAAATTATATACTTAAAATCCGAAATAAAATGCATCTTTTACTTTTATTGCACTATAAAGTCTTACGTTTTGTACCGTCCTTTCAAATGCCTTTACATTTTGTGCTCGATTTCTGCTGTTGCACCTTAAAACTTTTTAAATTAATGCAGTTATCTTTTGAAACACTTTCAAACACACACAAATACATATAATATGTACGTACTTGCAGAGTAAAAAAAAACGATCGAGAGAAGTATTTAAATTTGCACTTCAGCACACTTTTACAATACTCACCTTTGGCGCTTCGCTTTGATTTGCTTTTTCGCAGCAGAAACTTCACCCCCTTACCACTGCTGTTACGTGAACTGGAACTTGTATCGCTGCTCAACTGCAAAGAGAACGAAATACGAAGAAAAATTATTTAATTACTCTTGTAGTAGGATTTCGAAAATAAAGAATATATGGCTCTAGTTATATGCATAAGTACGTACATATGTATGTATATACTTAACCGTTTTAATGTATAATTGCAATACAAGGCTGCTTTGTTATCCTTTACCTCGCATTTAGCATTAGCTTGGAAAAAGGCTCTCAAGGATTCAATGGAAACAAATGGTAGATGTATATAAGTAGTCTATAGTGGCTGAGAATTTCACTAGTCACAACAAAACACAACCCACGCATAAAAATTTATAAAAACATTTAACAAAGTATCCCCGGGCTAATTGGACTTCCAAAATTGCATAGTTTTTGGTTCAATTAACCGGATAATCAACTAACCGATACTCGTTCAATTCAACAATTCGTCCAATTACAGGAATTCCGCTTAATTTGGCAACTTAATCAACTAAAAAATAATAATATGTGCACTTTAAGTATTTATTTAGTATTCAGTAATGATATTTAGATAATATTTTTAACTTCTAACGTGAAAAATTTGATGAGCAAAAACAATAAGTGCTCTGCACCTATATATTTAGGGATCTTTGTTATAAAAAATAAACTAGTGCATATTATTGTCTATACTCGTATGCAGTACTTTCATTCAAAAATTAAAAGATCCTTGCTTATATTTTTAAAATGTTAATTGAAGAAGTCTGTAATTTTTTTATATATTGTTCAATCCACGAGAAATAACGTGCGATTTCATATTCCCTAATTCACACAAAAACTTGGTTTCTATATAAAAATATCTTTGAAGTTCTTGTATGTATTTTAAAACTTCGAGAGCTGACGAAGGTCTTATGTATGCCGCGGATTATTTTTTTAACCAAAGCAATTCGCCAAGGGAAATAAAAGGTATATTTTTTTTCAATAAAACATATTTTTAAACAATTTTGCGGGAAACCAATTAAGCGGGTTAAATTATGCCGGAAAATTTGCACGTATTTTGTATATATTTTTGACCGTTCAGGTGGTTCAAATAAGCGTGAAAATCAATTGACCGGGGTCAATTAAGCGGGGGATACTGTACTTTAGAATATAAATTATAAAGTTGATTTCTTAATGTGATTATGTGATTCTCCCTTTTTAGGCAAGGTTTTTATATTTGACATAGCACATTAGTAGCTAAATACAATTTAAAGAAAATGTATGTATGGAGAGGAAGAAAAAAGCATATCCAAACAAGATGAGACAAATGACTTATGAAGGTTCATGCCTGAAACAATAGTTTTATTTGTCATTGTGAAATCGAATTCATAGTTGTTTTCTCCTTCCATCCCATCTTATTAAAATCTTTATAAAATATTTTTTTTATATAACTTTAATTGCTGCGTCGTATAGTAATAGAGAATTGCCGTTTTGATGGTTGATTAAAAGGATTTTGCGACGAGTTCTTACTGCACTTTACCGATAAGTTGATCAGTTTGATTTCACTCACAATCAACGGAGATATTGCATGCCGGCCAAAAGCACAGGAGCCTGACTTAGAGAGTGTATGAAACAAAGAGTCAAAATGTAAGCGTTGGAAAGCAAATGACATGCAGACCCGATTATAGCCGCCAAGTGAAATAAAAGTGGCAATAAAACGTACTTAGAACGTACTTACACTAGAGAGAACACCGCTCTGCGACGTGAAATTCAATTGGGAAAGTGTAGTGATTTTTCGTCACTACTTTCATTTACATATCCGCATTAATCAGAATTATAAGCGCCGGTAGCGGGTTGTAAGTACACCTTAAGATGTAACTGCTCTGTCAATTTGATAATGACGACAAACTACTGTGCGGTAGTCACGGCTACTTGCAAGTAAGTAAACACCTACTTTCGCTCTAACATTGTCATCTTTAAAGCATGCATGACGATGCATTATGATAAAATATACAAGTGAAAAAATTTATGCAGCCACACTAGTGGGATTAAGGCGTTGCCGTTGTTGCCGACTAAATTAAAGACATATAGCTTAGACCAAAGAAGTGTTTCGTGGTATTGCTGCGCCAGTATGAGTGTACATGCGTGCCACAGAATTATGTCCAATTTAATATGCGCATATAAATTAGTAAAACGATGAGCTGAAGTTGCATGCCACACGTTCCTAAAGTAGTCACATATTTACTCATATGTATGTATAATATGAATGAAAGAAAGTATTTCCATTGGCGTATTTCTGCCGCCGTGAGAAGGTCTGCCGCCGCTGTCCTTCTCGCCATTTTGCTTTGGCAATAAATTTAAGCTGCTGAGCAGAAATAGTGCTGACTGTGTGTACAAAAAGGTATGGCAGTTGTGCCGATTCACCTACAAAGTTATGTGTACTTATTCAAAAACATTCATCATACCTCGCTTTGTGTGCCGGCGAGTGTGGCGGTATCACATGTGAACACTAACAGCTGTCTTTACTAGCGCGCATACGGTGGTTACTCGCTTTTGGCTATGCTAATTTTTGTGCTTTTGTACGCCAAAAAGCTAATTGTAGCGCAATTTTAAATCCTTTAACATTTTGTGTAAAAAGCTTGCATAATATTGTGCCACATCTTTCTCCTAAGAGAGTATTCCGGTTTTTGACACAATCGGAACCGAAAGAGCTTCCATTCGTCGTAACTGGTACCAAATAGTTAATTAGCCTGTTAGTTGAGAGCATTATTTTTTTAGACTGATTCTTCTCTAAGACGAACCTTCTATAATTAAGGTTAAAGGCACCAGTACTAAAGTCACAGCTCTCGAAGTAGTATTTTAAGTAACACAAGAGTGCCTACTCTTTCCTCTTTCCGGAGCAGGTCCTTTATGGTATAAGGACCAACAGCGATGTACGGTTCGGGTACTACCATTCTGGTGGAGGCTCCAGAGCGGGCCAGCTCGTCAGCCAGATTTGGCACCCATGGTACCCAAATAAGGTGCACTTGGTTGCGATTCAACCGTTCTATGCACTCCTGCACTAGTAGCGATTTAACCTCATAAACCTTGCCGCTTGACTATAGCCGAGTAACGCATTTACGAAATTGCGTTGTAGGTTTATCTCTATATACCGACTTATAGCATAGACTCACGCTTGGAAGATGCTTAGAAGACTTCCCATGTGAATGGAGAGATTAGTGTGTGGTCCTACAACTCCTGCACCAATCCCCTCCGACGTTTTCGAGCCGTCGGTGTACCACTTTGATAGTGCTTTCCCTTAGCAGTAAGTCCAGCGTGGAATCATTGCATTCCGCCTTACTGCCAAAGTAACTTTATTCTTCTTAGTGAAGCTTACAACTTTGGTAATACTGACCCTTGCGAGAACAGCCAGTGGTATCTCATGACTTAGAGCTTTCATCTGTTGGGACGAGATTACCTTCCCTCTGCCAAATCCTTCTGCTTTGAAGCAAAGAATGTTTGGATGTCTGTTTGATTACTATATGTAGCGATGTGAGTTCCAGCATCACTTCCAGTGCTGCTGGCGGGCACGTACGCATTGCACCCGACGCGCAGATGCAGGCAAGTCGTTGCAGATTCGATATTTGGAGTCCTACCGATGTCTACGATGCTTTTGAAGCCCAACCCTTGGCTAGATCTAATTCCCTTTGTACGATATCGTAGAAAGTGCCTACGAATTTATTGTAATACCCCTAGCTAAAATAACAATGTCATCCGCATATTCCTGACAGCAAATTCCATTGTTAGTTAGCAGCTCAAGTATGTCGTCTATAACTAGGCTCTATAGTAGGGGGAATAGCACTCTACCCTTTGGACAACTTCTTGTTGTGCCAAGACGAGTTCTGGTATCACCTACTGTGGTTTCAGCTACTCTCGTGCGCAGTACGGTTTCTATCCATCTGTGTACCAGTGCTGCCACACTCCTTTTCTCTAGTGCTTTTGCCACTCTTTCGTGAGACGTATTGTAGAAAGCACCTTCGATGTCTAGGAAGACGCATAACATAACCTCGCACCGATCTAACGAACTTTGAAAAGATTCCTTACAAGAACTTGATTTTGGTCGGTCAACTATGGTGATTCGATCTAAACGGAAAATGCACTATTGCTTTAGATAATAACCTGTGCCGAATATCGTGAAGGTACCCCGTCAAATAAAAAAAAGCTTTCCATACAAAAACTTGATTCCGATCGACTAGTTTGTATGGCAGCTATATGCTATAGTGATCCGATATCGGCAGTTCCAACAAATGAGCAGTTTCTTGGTGTGGATGTGTGCGAAATTTCATACGATATCTCAAAAACTAAAGGACTAGTTCGTGTAGATACAGACAGACGGACGAACAGATGAACATGGCTAAATCGACTCAGATCATCATGCTGATAGGGTCTCCGACGTTTCCTTCTAGGTATTATAAACTTCGCGGCAAACTTAATATACCCTGTTTAGAGTATAAAAAAGAGTCTGTTGATGGCACCAAGTGATGCAGCCATTCATAGTTGGGTTGTTAAATTTCGTGCATATCAGTATCGAAAACGAAGAAAAATGTCAAAAATTGTAACAATCACTTAAAAAAGGGAAGAGATTGGATTTATCGTTCGTGAAATATTTGAGTTTTAATGTAAAACAATTTGGTAATTAATTCAGGTACTTTATGATGAATGTAATGATTAAAAGATCAACAATTGCAAATAGAAAGTCTACTCCAGGCAAGGAAAAGTTTATAAGCGGAGTAAGCTCTTCTAGGAACAGCTAAGAATTAAATTTGAAACTTTATGACATGCAGAAAATTTCATTAAAAATCAGTTTTCGAAAAAAAAATCAACTTTTTCAAGTAATAATACCGAAATCATTAGCAATGGATCCAAACTTCATCCATATATGTACTTGCACACAGGATTTGTATAACACAGAGCATAGTACACAGCGGACGCAATGCCTTATGATTTATCACAGTTGTCAACGCATTTAATTTTATGTCTGTTTCCTTGTACAAAGGACTTTAAAATGTGCGCATGTGTAGAAACACTTCGAAAGCT